GCTACCATCTCTATGTTTTTCCTTATTTGGCTTAAATGTGCTGTTTAATATATAAGGGTTTGGCCTCTAGGCCAATCCAATAAATAAGAACATGGTTGCGTTTCCTTTTCGTTTTTGCTGAGTTTGTTTCTATATGTGCCATCTTTAATGAAGTATGTAAAAATAGTCTTCGCTCTTATTTGAAACGATAGATGCTTTTACATGCTAGAAAAGAAAACTATATTAAGGCCCCTGCGATGCGACTAGATAATGATAACTTAAATATTATAATTGGTTAAAGATAAAAATAGAGGCATTTTTTATTCCGTTATAAGTAAAGCAAAGATGTGAAGAAGAAAGAAAGAAAAAGAACTGTCTTTGATATCCCAAAGAAAAGAAAACAGATAATACAGAGATGATATAGTTGTGTTTTTGGTTATCTCAAGACAGGACCAAAAACACCTGTTTTACAAACGGAAAAAATAGTCCGAAAACCATTGTATTATCTAATAAAAGTAATTGTTCATTCAATTTAGAATTGATAAGCATAATTAGTCGTTTTGTGTTCTAATTACTATTATTCAAAATATTTGGATCGTACTAGAGTAAATCGAATTTACCTAGTTTCTTGTTCAAAATTGGAGGGCGAGGAGAAGAAATTGATGGACTCTTAAATATATATTCTGCAGAGGAAGGCAAAAATGCATAAATATATATATTGTGTAGTATAAATGTTTAATAGCATTAATTATGTAAAGCTCCTATCTTTGTTGGCTTGTGCGGTTCCCAATATTTGGAGTCCGAGTATTTGGAGTCCAAGATCTTCATAGCGAATCTCAAGATATTTAACTATTCTAAAAGATATTTTGTGTTAAAACTGTTGTCAAAATAATTGATTATCTTATAAGATATTTCAAGTAACAAAATTTATTAAATTATTATTTCATTTATTCATGGCCAAATGTTAATCGTCATTTACGGAAAGATCCAAACTTTTGTAAATGAGTAATAACATAAATAATATGGGTTAGGTATATAAAAGTGATTCTACTTCCAGTTGCTAATCCCAAATAGAGATTAATGTTTTACTATCTCAAAATCAATAAACTATTATAATCACACAAAAAAACAAGTTTAAGGTTTTAGAAAACACTTCTTTTATCATTACAAGAGATGAAACTCACTTTCCTTGAAGGTCACAAGAGATGAACACTTCCTCCAAATGTTTCACGAAGGATGATCACTTGTTTTGAATCTTCACAAAGATGACAAACTTTACTCAACAACAAAAGCAACACTCAATCACACTCCAAGTGAAAGTTCTCACCTTTACACCAACACTAAGTTCTCAAAGCCAAAGCACAAAAGTGACACAAACCGTAGGTCACACTTTTCACAGTTTTAGTAACATGTGTTTTCGTGTTTTAGAATGAGACTCTAAAACATCTTTATAAAGACCTCACTTAAGGACAACTCCAAATATTTGTTGACAACTTTTTCTTGCATGATAATTGATTATCCACTTATGGTAGTCGATAATGCGTTAATGAATGCACAATGGCCAAAAACATGTTAAAAACTTCAATGGCTAGTCGTGATAATCGATAATGGTAAGTAATAATTGATTATGGATAATGGACTATTTCGGAGGCCAAACTAGAGTTTTTAGCATTTTGAAAAACCTCTTTGTGATAATCGATTAGTTAAGTAGCTAATTGATTATTGCATAGCGTTTTTACTCCAAAACCAGTTTTAAAGCATATAATACACTAAATCAACAAAAAAAAAGTCCTATACATAAAACTACTTATTACAAAAGCTTTAAAACATAAACAAGTCTTCATGAAGATCTCTTTGTAACTTGAGCACTTGAGACTTGATTTGTGCATCACCGAAACTTCTAAGACGTCATGATTTTGCTAACAGACATGTTGTTCCATATCACTATTCTTCTCACAACACCAACAATTGCACAAACTGGCAAAGACTTCAATCTTCTTCTACATCATGTCCCAAATGTCAAATCTATCATAAAATTGGACATCTAGCACATGACTACTGCCGCAAATTCAATTAAGAATTTAATCCTCAATCTCAGGTTAACAACTCTCAAGTTTGTTCCTCTTTCACTAAAGTTGATGATTTGTTCTCTACTTCGTCCAAGATGATGGACTTGTTGTTTTAACATCCCGTTTTAGGATGCCACTAGTAAAGTGTTAAACATTCTTAGTGTGGAAATTTGAAATATGATACCATTGAGAAAACTGAAGTAATAAAAACCTTAATTCAAATCAACAAAAACTTATTCCAATATTGAAAACTTCTAAATAATAATTTAAAATTATTATATCAAAATTAATTGAAAGATACATAAACCATAAAATTTCCCCAAGCAGTCCTAAGCACCTCGCCGCTCTACTCATCAACTGGAACATCTGTAAGAACATTTACTTGCATATAACAACACTAGTTATACGATCATCACAACACACACAAACAATAAGGATGAGCTACCAGAATAACCATCTAATAATATAACAAATATAATAAACACTAGTCATTATAATAATACTAACAACATGACACGCCAAAAGGTCATCTCAAAGCATAGGTCACCCCAAAAACGTGCCCCAACCAAGCAATTCCAAAACATGTGTCATTCTCCCTTACTCTACCGTACAAAACTTGTTCACAAAAATAAGACACATGTTCACTAAAACAGGGTAGTTCAAGTCATCCTCCACTATAGCTTTGGACCTATCTTACTTCTCCGTACAACAGACACTATACTCAACACGAGTGAGACATTCTTTCCTTTTTATTGCCTCGAAAGACGAACCAAATAAGTTTTCTACACACCAAAATCAGGGCTACTTTACATTAAATGATCAAGATAGTTAAAACATAGTGTTCTCTGCGAAATCCCTGTGAATATGACACTTATTATACTACAAATTACTCAATATACTTGAGTTGTTACGTGGAAACCCAACAATAAATTCCTTCATTTAATAACTCTTTCCACTATGGTATTATGGTATGGTAGTGCTCATAGTGTTGTTCATGACTATTTATGATGATGATCATGGTACTTGAGATGCTTCAACTTATGTTATGTTGATAATGGTGTTACTATAATGGTTAAAGTAAGTAGTTAACATGGGTGCTAATGAGTAGATAGACCAATGGTCTATGTGTGAGATGTTAGCGATGACATCAAGGGTTAAAGATCAAGTATTGATGGTCAAAGTTCAAGGATCGAAGATCAAGGATTGAGTAATTCAGTATGATTGAATTAGTTTATGTTAGAGGATTAGGAATCCTATTGTTATTACTACTATGTATGAGGTGTTTGATTGTGATTGATATAATCAGAAGGTATGTATCTTGTTGTGTGTTTGATTATGGTTGATATAATAAGAAGATATGTATCTTGTTGTGTGTTTGATTATGGTTGATACAATCAGTATGTATGTATCTTGTTGTTATGATTGTTTTATCATTAGCTTACCTTATACATGTTTATGTTTGTGAATGAAATTATCAACGATGATCGTATAATGTGTTATACGTAAGCAGATAATGTTACAAATGATTCAGAGATGTGAGTGACTCGAGAGAGGATGAGGAATGACCTTGAGATTCATTTAAAGCTATTTTTGTTTTACAAGTTAAGACAATATAATTAGAGTATTTTCTTTGTTATTTTATTACTCGAAATAATGTAATTGAACAAAATTTTTTTAAGTACGATTCTACGCTATACTAAATTTTGAATTTTATTAATTTTTAATAACTTGTCACATCTCAAAAATCCAAATACTACACTTTATAGTCCTTATAATTTGTAGTCACTTGTTAGCAACTCATCAATAACTTATTTATTTCTAATATTATTTTAATTAATGTTCAATAAACCGATGTTAATAAAAATATTTATTTAATAAGAATATTAAAAAATAGTTTCATGTTTTTCTAACTTTTTTTAAAAATAATTAACTAATATAGAATTAATACAAAGATTTACTTATTAAAATAAATTAAAAATAATTTTACACTTTTTAATTATTTTTAATAAATGAGTATTTTTTGTCAAATTAGGATGAAATTAATTATAATAATTTCGCAATTTGAACAATATTAATATTTGGAAGTTAAATAAATATTTTTCATAAAACTGTTTAATTTTATGAAAAATAGCAAGTTAATGATTATTTTAATATCAGTAAACTAATATAAATTTTTGTCTAAAATGAATTTATTTCCATTAATAAATATTTGCCTTCCAGGAAGAACCCTAGAGCCTGTATCCACTTTCCGTTTGTTATTATTTGTTTTTTCTTCCAATAATTATTTATTTATTCCAATGATAAACTAATTTCCACTGACGACCATTCTATGTAGAAAACTTTAGTTGTACTTTTCCTCCATCAATCTATGATTATGAATCAGCAAAGGGTAAACTTGACTTTTACATTTGATAAATCCCTCTGTCATCTAAACCAAAATAACTGTTGAGGGTAGAATTAACATCTAACCAGTTATCTGATTTCAATATTTTCTATAAAAGAAAGTATTCCATCCAAATTCTTAACGTGAATCTTAAGTTGATAGTAAAAAGAAATAGTAAAAATATTTTATTCAGAGAGAAGTCAAATAAATGAATTATTTCTTATATAATAAATATTCTTTTCTGCTTTTTACTTTTAGCATTAGTTTAAAGAAACAAAATCGATTTCTAAAAATCTTGCAAGCTATAATCTCGATCTAGTAATGATTTTTTATCTACTAGAAAAGAGAAATTTATATGAATATTTATAAAATATATTAGTGCTACATTTGCGATGTTGAAAGAAAAATATACCATACTGCAACACTGTATCAAGTCTTCTTGCAAGTCTTCTCGCAAGTCGATGTTTGGGCATCAATGAGTAAACATTTTATATCTGTATCTCAAAACTTCACTGAATTGAGACTATAAATACATGACAACACTCTTCGTATCAATGCAAAGGGAAAAGTGAGTAAAATATAGTAAGCATTATCAATCGCTTGGCAACCATGAAGGCCATTCTCATTGCTTTCTTACTCTTTGCTTCTCTTTTCTTCTTTCCCACTTCAACTATGGCTCGACAACTCAAGGGTAATAATACCTTCTAACTTCTCTGTACTTCCTTAATTCTCATATGCACAAAATTTACTAGCATCACACTTGAAACTCACCAAACATGCTTTTTATAACTTATTTGGGTAAACTTCTGAGTACAAATATATAAAGGTAATTTATTTTTTTCCTTTTTATTTGATTTTCTTAAACTTTTTTATCAGATGAAAAGCATGTTTTGGTATAGTTAAAACAAGCAAATTGAGACAATTGTTTTGATGTGAGAGGAGACCATTATAACTAATGTAATTATCTGTATTCACTCTTATGCAGAAGGAACGTTTCAGACAGGAAACCCTAATGACCCTAATAATCCTGCTATTAAGTGTCCTCCCGGTCAGCCTTATAGAAATTGTCTTCCATCACCGACACCACCATGCTCACCATTTGTACGCAATTGCTGATATCTGAATGAATTAGATAGTTTTACTCGTTCCTGGTACCATTTAACACTTCCTGTGTTAAACCATGGTGCTACCATCTCTATGTTTTTCCTTATTTGGCTTAAATGTGCTGTTTAATATATAAGGGTTTGGCCTCTAGGCCAATCCAATAAATAAGAACATGGTTGCGTTTCCTTTTCGTTTTTGCTGAGTTTGTTGCTATATGTGCCATCTTTAATGAAGTATGTAAAAATAGTCTTCGCTCTTATTTGAAACGATAGATGCTTTTACATGCTAGAAAAGAAAACTATATTAAGGCCCCTGCGATGCGACTAGATAATGATAACTTAAATATTATAATTGGTTAAAGATAAAAATAGAGGCATTTTTTATTCCGTTATAAGTAAAGCAAAGATGTGAAGAAGAAAGAAAGAAAAAGAACTGTCTTTGATATCCCAAAGAAAAGAAAACAGATAATACAGAGATGATATAGTTGTGTTTTTGGTTATCTCAAGACAGGACCAAAAACACCTGTTTTACAAACGGAAAAAATAGTCCGAAAACCATTGTATTATCTAATAAAAGTAATTGTTCATTCAATTTAGAATTGATAAGCATAATTAGTCGTTTTGTGTTCTAATTACTATTATTCAAAATATTTGGATCGTACTAGAGTAAATCGAATTTACCTAGTTTCTTGTTCAAAATTGGAGGGCGAGGAGAAGAAATTGATGGACTCTTAAATATATATTCTGCAGAGGAAGCACTAGTACACTAAGAGGATACTGCACCGGTTACTTTTGCTTTTAGGCACCGGTTCTACAACCGAGGCATATACCAACGAGGTAAAAAGGGGTAGGTTTTATGCCTCGGTCGTGAACTGAGTTAAAAAGAATAGGATTTATGCCTCGGTTTTTACGTAACCGAGGTAGTAACTTGTTTTTTTTTTTTAAGCTTCAGGATGTTGTTGATGTTTGTTCTTATGCATCACCCATCTTCCACTGCCATCACCCATCTTCCACTGCCACCAGCATGATTTCCCACTTTCAGAGCTACCAACACAACAACGCAATTCCACATTTTCAGTGAAACAAGAATGATTCTCCACCAGCTTCTCTTCCTCTGTTCCTGGAGGTCTCAGCTCTGCCGCCACTCAAAAACTCCAATCAAAAATCCAAAAATTGAAACTCCAATCAAAAATCCAAAAGAAAACTCAAGCAGAAACTCCAATCAAAAATCCAAAAATTGAAATCGGAACCCTAGACGAATCGGAACGAGAATGACGTGCTCCCACCACCACCTGCAGAGAATCAAACTCCACCACTCTTGCAAAGCATCAATTAAACATAAAACAACCCAAACAAAATTAGAAAAAGGAGACGGAAGGAAGTTTCCTCCTTCCCTGCAAATCAGAACAAAGAGAAGAAGAACGAGAATGACCGCCCTTGCGCCCCCACTGCGTCTTCGCCGCGCCTCAATCACGCCATTGAATATCCTTCGTCGCGCCTCCATCAGAGCAGAGAAGAGGAAGGAAGGGAAACAAAAGAAAAAGGGAGAAAAGAGAAGAGCGGTGCAACTTCTATCTCTGTTTGCGAAATTTAACCCTAAACACATGTTATTACCTCGGTTATTTTTTTAACCGAGGCAATAAGGGTCTACGGCCTCGGTTCTATAAAGAACCGAGGCCTATACCTTTGCGCGATAATTACAAAAATGCCACTGCACCAGTTTTAGGCATCGGTTCTTTTTGAACCGAGGCATATACCTTGCGCGATAATTACAACAATGCCACCGCACCAGTTTTAGGCATCGGTTCTTTTT